CATTCCTCGGGGAGCATATGATTGGCATGTGTCAGCCCCCGTGGCTCAAAAGATAAAACGCTTCACTAGCCCAAGCGAAACAGGTCACAAGCGTAGCTTTGGCTGTGATTCAGAAAAGCACCCGAGCATCCTTTGCTTTGTGAGCGGTGTGGCGTAAGGCAACAGGATGCCTCGACAGGCACAGGATCCGATGAGGGCGACCCATCCTAGCTGTGCATTCCATTCCCTGCGTCATGGGAGCGGAAAGGAAGTGGTTGTTAGCGCGAGTTTGGCAGCACTGCGGTTGCAACCTGTTAACAGCCCACTGCTGTTTGGATTTGCTCTGTGCAGGATAAAAACGTTGCAATCAAACACATTTTAAGTGCAGGAGTCCAGCTTGAGAAACTGAAGCAAAAAAACCCGCAACTTGTTAAAACATCTGCTCAATGTCAATTTTATTACATTATATTATAGCAGTATGGTGATTTGACACACACTTCCAGCACCTTGTAGGACACTACATTATGGACTGCTTCACCTGTTTAGCATGTAAAGTTAGGTGTCTGTTCCTCGCTGAAGCTCCAGCTCTCTGGGGCAGTCCCAGAGCTGACTTCACACTAACGTGGCAAGAGCCTGCACGTTGTGGGAGCTTTCAGAGGTCCTGTGGACGGCATGGTGGTTTCTGACGCTTCTGTCTCTAACGCCGCTTTTGGGGCTGTGCTGAGCCTTGGCCGCGTGGCTCTGGAAGGCCCGGACGGTTCGAATAGCAAGGATGCAGACCACAAAGCTGGCAAAGTACAAACAGGCAGCAGTGACGCCAAAAAGGGCGACGGCCGCGTCACCGCCCTGGACCACGCAGTTCATGGAGGTATAACCGCGGCGTGCATACAGCCTCTCGCGCCTCTTGCAAACTTCCGTCGAGTTCACCTGGCTGACAAAATGCAGGTAGAGGCCGACCGCCACGCCGTACGCCACGCCGGCCAGCAGGTTGAAGGCACATTCGCCCGCCAGCAGCCGAATCCTGAGCTGCTGGATGGGTTTTGCCCCCACAACAAGGAAGACGAGGGTAAGTACTGCTGCTGTTAGGCTGAAGGCTACTCCGCCATACACGCAGGGGGCTCTCATCTGCGTGAACTGCATGTCCAGATCCCTCACCTCCTGGAGCTCCGTGCCCTCAAAGGGGCTATAAGCCGAATTCAGGCTAAAGGATCCGGTGCCGAAGCCGCCAAGGGAGGTGAAGCCTGCAACAGAGGCTTGGGCAGCGCCCACGCAAATCAGCACCAGGAGGTTAACCGTGATTTCCACAAACTTCAAAATGCCTATAAGGAGCAGAAAGATGGGAACAGGCATCAAAGTCATGTCTTGTGCAAACTGGGGGTGACAGAAGTACACCAAAACCAGAGACAGAGAGCACTATCACTGAGATAGTCCTCTTGGCTATGGCTACAGAAGAGCGCTGTTTAAAAAAAAAAAAAAAAAGCGAGCTCTCGTGGGTACATTTCAGAGGTTGAGCAAATTACTTTTTTTAATTTGTCAGTGTGCTTGATAAATGGATCTTCATGCAGGGAAAGAAATCCATAAAAATTTTACTGTGCTTGTGTTATTGCCAAGGCAAGCTCACAGTGATTGTATTTTGGCCTGTAACTACTTGGCATAAACACGCTGAGCAAGAAATATCCAGTATGAACAAAATACTGAAGTTAAAGCTGAGAAAAACCTAGAATCTTCTAATGGCTTAAAAAATTGTGCAAGTTACTTAGGTCCTTTAAAATGCCTTTACTGCTTTTAACTTACGCTTTTTTTTTTCTTTCTAGGTGTTCGTTAATTTAGACTTATGATCTAACCAGATGCAACTCCTACTTCATCTCCTTCAGTATAAAAATCTCTTCATAAATGTTAAGAAGCAGTTCCCAATTGCACAAAAAAAAAAGGAGGAGGGGAAGGAGGCAAAACCCACCTCATTTGCAGAGGTAAGATAAATGAATTTGATACCAGGTCATGCGTTCTCTTCTACACCCCCACCTTCAGAAGAAAGCCTTATGACTTCTGAGCTGACTCTTTATTTTCTTATATTATGCTACTTATAAAGGTAATCAAGCTTTTTTTTTTTCCAATTGCACAAAAAAAAAAGGAGGAGGGGAAGGAGGCAAAACCCACCTCATTTGCAGAGGTAAGATAAATGAATTTGATACCAGGTCATGCGTTCTCTTCTACACCCCCACCTTCAGAAGAAAGCCTTATGACTTCTGAGCTGACTCTTTATTTTCTTATATTATGCTACTTATAAAGGTAATCAAGCTTTTTTTTTTTGGGGGCCTCTTTTTGTGGTAGCTGCCTGTCAGGAAGGTGCAGCATCTGTTAGATAAATCTGATTATTCTGTGACAGCTCACTAGGGGTCAGACTAAGATTAGTAAACATGACGGATGTTGAAGCGTAGCATAGCTAGAGTTGCCTATTTGGGAAACGAAAACCTCTAGTGTATCAGGCGTGTTGCTTCTCTAGTTCTGAAGTTAATTACTGAATTGTGAATTTTACTATTCCATTGCAGTCTGACAGCCAAGAACGTAAGATGCTTGACACAGTGGTCCCATATCTGTCTTTAAAACGTGGCAGGATCTCCAGCTCACGTACAGATTTTCATTTTATGCTGCTAACATTGATCAGCATGGCATTTTCCTCTTGAGCAATGGCTCAGCTGCTGTCAAGGCTGTATGGGCTTGAAAAGAAAGGGCTGAAGCAGCACACAAGGGAATTAGGCAAATTCCTCTCTTGTGTTGCCAGATGTTTCTAACCAAAGCAAGCCAGTGACAGCCACCATGAAGGATTATCGGATACTCCTATTCTGCTCCTTCTGTTCCCTCCACAGAGGCCTGAAGTAACGGGCGTCTTCCTGCTGCCCCTCGCTCTTCACTGGAAGGTGCTTGTGATGGTTTGACAAGGGCCTTTGGCCTCTTCAGGAGTTCCTGCTCCCCCCTGTACCCAGCCTGGGCCCCTCACTTCTGGCAATGCAGGTGTAGGTGGGTACGGAGCCCATTGACACTGTGGCCCTGCAAACCATCCCAGAAGCACAAGGGGGAGCAGTGGTAATGGTGGTAATACCTGGGAATGGAGAGGCTCAGCATGTTCTGGTTTGTGTGCGTAATGTGCATGTGTGTATATACACACACACACACACAAAGTGCATACATATACAGATTTCATATCCTAAAAAGAATTAGGCAGAACAGGCAAAGAAGACAAAGTGTTCTTGCTGAGGAGGAGCTAAGCTGCAGTTGTATGTATGTGCTGCTCAGAGGTGATGCTGATTTCTGCATGACAACATGCCTTTTCCTTGACCCTTTCGCACAACTGTTTCTGTGAAGCAGGACAATAACCATGCTGGTTACCAAATCTGTTCAGGAGGCTTCAAATATTTCAAAGGAAATGCTTGTGAAGCTAAATGTAAAGAGAAATTACATTTTCGTTCATGAGACAGGATTTAGGACCCCTTGTACCAAATTCAAACAGTGTAGCCAAAAGACTCACAGTTTTTAATGGGTATATAGTTATCACTTTACCAGACTGTTCAAAATATTTTGAAAGAGTAATAGTTGTACAGAACATTCATTGGAACTGGATCAGAAGTCTGCTCAGTTGAGCTGTACAATATGCTTTCCAAATAGAGGGAGTCAACTTGGGACCTCAGGGCCCTTGGACAGTGTTGAAGGCATAAGGCCACTTCCCTTTTTAAGGGCTGACTACTGATTTCATAGATGCTCCATCAGGAAGCAGTTCTTACAAGTCTACAGGGAGGAAAGACCATTTGATTAAGGGAAACATAAATTTTAACTATGTTTGGGAACTTGGAAGTTGGGAATTCATGACCAGTCAGCTTTCTTCTAACGCTGTCTTCAGAATTTCCTTTTTGCCTATAACTGGCGAGGCACTCTGACCCTCTGAGGATCACCTCGCTGAGCTTTAGAAAAGGCAATTTTTCTCTTGTCAAAGTAGCCAGCACCTGCTGCATACCTCTCCACATTTACAACCGACCCTAATCCTCAGTGACACTGCTCCAAAACTTCTTACGTATTCACACAAATTCTGTATGCAACCCCTTAACTTCACTGAGCTGATTGCTGGTAGCACAGTACTCTTTGTTGATGGGATGACAAATATGATCATTGTAGGTCTACTGTATTTTTAATTGTGGCAGTAGATGCTTTAATGGTATGCTTGAAAAATTTCCTTAGACAGGGCATTCAGGTTGGACAGGTTTTGTATGTACCTGTACAGGTTTCACACATGCCTGCTGTAGAATTGATCAGAGTAACAAAACAGTGGAGAGAAGTTCATTAGCAGTTACTCCACTAGTTATTTGCAACATGTGGATTAACTTTAAAAAAAAAAAAAGGTGCAATAACAAAGCCTCCTGTATTAAAGAAAATCCTAAAATGATGAGCAGTACGTAGAGTGAAACTGTGAATTGCAAGTCCACGATGACAGCCAGCAGGGTTTGTGAAAGTAGCAGACGGTTACTGGAAATCCCTAAGGCCTTGTACAATCATCAGGGCTTTGATGGAAATATTTAGCCTGACAGTGTGTTCAGATTTTCACCTGGGCACCCCAAAAGCCTCATGCAACCTTGATCTGTAATAGTTACAAGCTGATACCCAATCTACTACGCTAGTATAAACAGGATAGACTTGAGAAATAAGGAATGAAAGGACAGTTAAGTTTTGAATCTTAGCTCTGTCAAGGTATGCTAACACACACACACGCTAGCAGTGACCTGTGCCAAGGGCGGACCCCAAAGCCCCGCTTCTGAGTCTACGCTGCCATTCCCGCTTTCACGGGCCGGTTAGCTACATCATCTTAGAGTTACAGCTGCAGAAACTAGACTGCCAAAAGGCCTTTCTACGGGGAAGTTACTTATCTCTTCAACTATTCCCCAATCCCATGCAACAATGAACGCATTGCAAGACTTGAGTGTAAAATGACAGGAGGTCTGAAAATCTCAGAACTCCACTGGTTTGATTCCTTTCTTGAGTTCAAAATCTTGGGATCTATCTAAAATACTACTGACTGACTTGTATTAAAATTAGCACAGTGAACAGCTGGCTTTGGGAACTAACCCTCTCCATACGGGGAAGTAATGAGACTCAAGCCTGGGCTCCTGGATTTCCACTTCCTTTCCCATGCTTCTGTCCTGCGCTGCTTTTCAGCACTGAAGGTGAGGAGAACGACTGCAATCTAGAAGACAGCGGGCCTTGCCGGAGCTTTCCAGAGAATTGTTTCATTCATTCCATAAAATTTAAATCTGCAGTGGATAGTAACTTCAATGTATCATACTTGTTAACTTTGAATGCAATCTTTTTTGCTGTGAGTAGGCTTCCTGCTATAACAAACTGCAGCGTTCCAATTTATACTATTAATCTACTATTCACTTTTTCTTTCCCTTCTATCCCAGGTGCACAGTGGGCTATTGCCATGGTATTAACCCACTAGTCAATGATTTTGTCTTCTATCAAATGGTGGGCTCAAACGTCCAGCGAAGCAGCCAGGCAGCCTGGTAAGGGTGCAGACCTACAGGCAGCTGACCTTACTCTAACAGCTCCTACCCCTGGCTGGACAATCACCACTTTTCTCCTCTGTTCAGTAATAACTCAGCCTAGCATTGGGCCCTTCCAAGAGCTGTTTTAATAAATTGAAATAGCAGGAAACGATTCAACTCTTTTCTTGTGTGCTACTGTTTTTTCCTGCAACTTTAGCAACCTGAAGTGACTCACAGAGTATCTATCTGATGAGCAATGTGCTGGCATGAGTTTAGCAGGGGAAATAACACAGCCAGGGCCAGAGAAGGACCAGAAACTCTCCTTTTCAGGTGAGGTGAGCTGTTAAATCTGCATGCTCTGCCTCATAAAACCACACTGTGGCTGACTGCGTGGTACCCAGTAACTCAATTGCGTGCTCAAGTCTCATTCGTTGGAAGCTGTGAGGAGGCTTTTCCATTCAGGCAGTGTAGCAGGATGGCCCCAGTGTTCAGGTGTCAGGATCACAGTGTGTACATAAAGTGAAATGGTCAGTCCATATTTGTTCCCTACGTTTCTGACCCTGACAAGAATCAATCTGTAGGACAGTCGGTTCTGGCTGTTTCTGCTGAACTCCCTCTGACCCCACGAGGGCCTGACTAATAGAGGAGACCTACAAAGTGTCTCCCTCCACTGCATCTTGGCACAGTAGTCATCTTTTTTCCTCTGTTGACTGCACATGGACTCTTTCTCCTGTCTCTTTTGGTATCGTTCTCTCCTCTTGAGTTAACATCCCTGCATACTTCTAAGA